TCAATCAAGGCAGGGTAGATGCAAGATCTTTCCCAAGAATGTGCTACCAACACTGGATGGAGAAGCCTCTAGAAGAATATACTAGCAGTGCTTCAGTTTCCCTGTGACTGTAGCTGTCTTTTTTTTAAAGTTGGTGGACTTAAGCCCAAAAACCTTGACTTTACAGTGAACGAAAAGCTATACATTCACATTGAACTTGAAGAGATGCATAACTGAAGCAAGTTTTACTATCCTGAAGCTGAAAATGTGGAATATTTTTTCTTTTGCATTCTCAGACTTCCTGAGAATCTGAAAGATATTTTTCCCACCCTAGCTCTCCCAGCAAGATGAGGACAGACTCCTTTCTTCAAGGCTCACTGCTTTATTTAGGAGCTACTGTGGACATAAGCAATCTTATTTAAGAAAGATCAGAGGAGAGACAAGAATTACAGTATGCCAGAGCAACAGGTAGAAAAAGACATATGCCCATGGCTACTTAATCCACCACTTGTTTAGCAAAATAATTGCTTGGCCTTGCATCAAACTTAATTGGCAATTAGAGCTTTCATGAGCTCATGTCAATGAGCTCTCAGAGGCAGATGAGTTTGCTAAGTCAAAAATAAACCTTGTGAGAGATCCTGGAAGTTCTTAGGATTACAGTTAGCAGGCCTTAGAGGAGGACAGGATCCTCTGTTTCTGCTGGGGTTAGGAGTGTTCAGGCTTCCTTTGAAGGGTGGCATCTAACTCAATGACCATAGCATCGACCTGGCTTAGGACTACCTTTCTTAAAGCACACAAGCAGCCTAAGTCAAGCTTCCTCCTCACAGAAAGCCAAGCACCTATAACCAAAGGTTCTCTCACAGCAATGGATTTACAGGCTTCATTTCGGTATGGAACCTTAAACTGAATCCCAACTATTACTCACCAACCCTACTCTCTCCCCCTTTAGTGAGATTAATCAATAGATTAGCCAATTAATTCTAGGGTCCTTGTTGCTAACAGAGCTGCCTTTGGGTTTCTGTGATGCTGAAATTAAGTGATGAACATTCTAAATCAGACTTCACCAAGACAATACACTGAAAAGTTTAAATTCTAAATCCTGAGACAGTCTCCATCACCAAAACTGGCATTGTTAACTTGTCTGTCTGGGAAGAGAGATGGCTACTTTGTAAGCTTTTATGCCCATTGCTCCACTAACAATATAGACAGAGAACAAGACCGTCGTGCAGGTCCATTCCCAAAACACATAAAACACATGTTCAGCAAGGCCAATATGGAATCAGAAAGGGGCACCTGACCATCAGGAGCATCATCTGACTGGCTCACAGTGCCAACCCATGCCTTGGCCAGGATTCTGCCAGACGACTGCTACCCTTTTATGTCAGAGCACGCTTTGTTAGCTTGATTCCTAATCAAATAAGAAGTGACTAGGAAAAGAAAAAAAACAAAAACAAAAACCGTTAAAGTTTCTTTCTGAATAAGAGCTGTGGTGTGAAGATAGTGAATAGAAATAATATATTCTTGAAAATAGAATGTGTTGCAAATGCACCTTGATGTCTGTAATCTCAAAAGAATAAACACCTCACACTAATGCATGCAGAAATTGTTTACTACTGCTCAAAGCTGTGATTTTTTTTATTTATTCCATCTTACAAAACAGAGATGTAAGCAACTTCATCAGATCCATTCATTCACTATTTGTACAAAAGTTGATTCAAAAGACAAACCCATGACTATGTAGTGCTTCAACTATACAGGTCAAGAATATGCTCAATTTGCCTGTTTTCTTCAAAAGCCAGGTGTACACAGCATCTGGATAGCTGGGATAAAAGGAAGATGCCCCTTTGCTTTGAAGAGGCACTGGTGGATTACTAAGGCCATGCCAACACAAACCTTTCCTGAATTTGGCACACTCATGCTAGGGTAGCAGTGTTAGCAATAAAGATGAAGACTGAAGGAATGATATTACAGCTTATCCTTTCCACTGCTGGAGCCTAATAAAGTATCATAGAATCATCTGGGTTGGAAGGGACCCCTAAGGTCATGTATTCCAACCCCCCCGCAGTGATCACTGACATCTTCAACTGGATCAGGTTGCTCAGAACCCCGTACAACCTGACCTTGAATCTTTCCAGGGATGGGGCATCTACCACCTCTCTGGGCAACCTGTCCCAGTGTTTCACCACCCTCATCATGAAAAATTGCTTCCTTAATAAAACCATTACCCCTTGTCCTATCACAACAGGCCCTGCTAAAAAGTCTGTCCCCATCTTTCTTATAAGCCCCCTTTAAGTGTTTAAAGGCCACAATAAGGTCTCCCCAGAGCCTTCTCTTCTCCAGGCTGAACAAATATATCCCTTTACATTTCAGTCTCAATTCTGTACCAGATGTACCACATCTGCCAGAGTTCCCACAGCAAACCAGTTGCCCACCAGCACCAGTTTGGTTGCTGCAAACCAACAACTCAGACACATGGTGAATCTCTTATTAAAGCAGACTTCTTCTGGTCTCTGCAGTAGAATACGTTCAGCAAACACTCCAGAAGAACACAGCTTCCTGAATTTAAGAGTTCTGCAGCTGCTATTCACTCTTGATTTACAGCCTGACCTACATCCAGTGCTTAGGCTTCTCTAAGTGTGTAACTGATCTGTGCACATGTGATTTTCAGTGAAAAGTCACTAGCAGCTCATAGGCTTCCTCCTCCTCATTTTCACTCACTTATTAGTGGCACATACAAGATTCCTTCCACACAGAAAATCCATTGCCTTGTCTTAAGCATACAACTTGCTCCCCACCATCCTTCTGAAACAAAATGGCATTGAAGCTGTGACCTGTTACAAAAACCAATTATGAGAATTAAATTAAAATTCTCACTTTGCACTGCAAAGGTCTCTCCAAAGACTGCACTGGAATGCTCACATATAGTCTCATGATTTAACCAGATGCATGAGGATATGCTGCATTAGGTAAGCCATCTTTTACAGCATTGCTTTGCTAGCAGGCATAGGCTGCCCAAGTGCTACAAATTACTCTTCCCAGCACACATTTCACAGTTATACAGCGAGTTTTACACTAAGTCAACACACTAGTTCTGAACAGAGAGGGCCTCTAACATGTCAGCATAAACTTCAACTGCTGATAATTCAGATATCAAAATTAATTACTTGAATCTCATAAGCAAAAACTGGCTAATTTCATTTTTCACTTGGTACCTGCCACTGCTACTTCTCCACACCTCGGTCATCTGTCAGTACTGATGAGGCCATAGCCAGCTTACACTACACAACACATTAAGATGTGTTCAGCTAGTTTCTTTTGTCAGGAAAATATGAAAGCATTAAACAATTTTTAGATGACACATTATGCTCATGTAAGTACTAAGATTATTTTTTTTCCCCAGTCATCTGGGTCCAATTAGGTTTCCTCAACTAATTCTTATAGTCTCAGGATGAATCTTAAAAATATTTATCTTTGACATTGTAATGAGACACACAAGTTTTTCTGTAAGACCTTAAAGAAAAATAAAAAGTCTCTTTTTAAGAAAAGCAGACAGATCCTAGGAAAATACTAGCACAAGATTTTTGGTAGTTCCTACACAATCAGGTGATAAGTGCAGACAAAATTTCTCAAAAACAAGTTAATTTCCATCATCATCATTTTTATTTACAAACCCTTCACTTTGATTTTAGCAAGGCTTTTGTCTTCTCTCTTGGTTTACAAATAATAATAAAAAAATTAGATTAAATTGGGTAGGTGTGCACTCCTAAGCAAGCACCACTCAGACTGTCAATGATTCAGCTGGCGAACTGGAGATAGGTGTCAAATGAGAGACTCAAAGGAGCTTGGCCTATATCTAGAATACTCAAAGCACACACTTTAATGAGAATGTTAGAAAACGTGGGTGACATCAAGCTGGGGAGGCCTCGGAACCATACTGGAGAGCAGAATGGGAATTCAAGTTAAGAAGATCTGAAAAAAGCAGATGCCATTCAAAAGACAAGCAGCAGTCGTGTTTAAAACTTCTGCATTTATTTAACTATGCAAACAGAGAACGTAAACAGCTATCCTTGCTTTGAGCTACTGTAGGAAGCATCCAAAGAATATAACAGATCACAGACTGAGTGCAAGTCAACAATATAGTCAACATCAATAGGAATACTGTGTTAAGAATTGTTTTTCACTGTCCCATTTAAACCTCAACCGTGGCCTGCATCCTTCCAGACTTCCACACTTCCAGAAAGATACAGGCAATCTGAGAAGCAGTAACAAATCAAATCTAAGAAACACAATGTTCAAGGAAAGGGTGAAAAACTGAATTCGTCTCAACAGGATTGAACTAAAGAGGCCAGTATCAGCCCCCAAATATATTGAAGGTACCCAAAGGCAGATAAAAGTTTACCCATTCTCTTTATAGATATTGCCCAAGACCAGTTTAGCTTGTGAAAATATCCTCCAGCAACAAGCCTTTAAGGTGCCTAGAAAGTCCGTTGGAAGTGTTATGAATACCAAGGGTGTAACGAATCTTGTATTTAGGCAGAGCACTGAACTAGATCACTTTTGATGGTCATAATCTTCCCAGCTATAATGGCATTTACCCAATATGACCAAAATCTGACCCTAAAATTAACTCCCTCTACAGCACAGAAGCAGTAATTTCCACAAAACAAAATACAAGAACATCCATACCTTCTAAATGCTGAAACTATCCCTTTTCCCATTTGGAGACTTTAAACATTCAAACAGCTGATAGCTTCACTGTAATAATAAGAGAACTGGTACAGAAACTGAATATGGATTATTTCCAAGCAATCCCCTGGAGTAAAGCAGTACTGTTCTGCTGAATTAAGCTTAAGGAATTGGAGAATAAAAGTAACACTAGAATCTGCAACTAGTAATACACAATTTTACAACTCTTTTTTATAAGTTTGGGGCCATAAAGCAAAGCTTACAGTAAAATATTTTAGCTAAGACACCAGAGCATTATTAGCAAAGTAACAGTTGATAAACAAAAGCAGACTCACCTTCCGCAATTCAATTGTAACTTCATTTCTGTGTCTTCTCATAGTCTGTAAATAAAAAATAAAAAAGATTTGTATGTAAAGAAAGAAGTGTTTTGTTTTAGAGTCAGTTGTTTCTATACCAAAAGTGCAGCTATTCACCAAAAAGATAAGGAAATCAGTGTCTGTAATTTATAACTCAATCTTTCCTAGCAAGATGCACGAGTTATTTTTTGGGTTTTGTTGGGTTTGTTTGGTTTTTTTAAAGTTTATACACCTTACAGAAAGGTTTGTTGTAAACCACAATAAGTATTCCAAAGGCAGAAAACACTGACTTCCCCACAGAGTTTCACTGAAATGCCTCCCCAGGTCATGTGCATACCAAAAGAAGCGGTAAATACAAGTTAGACAGTCTCACATTCACAATATGACCACAGTCACAACCTAAACATGTAACCTATGCCAGTTATCTGGTCAAAATCAACTATGAGTGACCGAAGATGACAGAGCTCATTGCAAACAAGACAAGTTAGGCTTGTGACAAAAGGAAACAAAGTAGTACAGTGGCACAGAGTCTACTTAGGATTTATAGCTTAAACACTGTAAAGGAAAACCAGCCCATAAATATGTCAGCTCCTTTAAGATACTGGGCACTCAGAACACATTCCCTACAATGCTGCTACACCTCTTAGCTAAAAGAGATCAAAAGATTGAGAAAGAACAATTTTAGCCTAGTGAAGGCAATCTCCCTAGGTTCATTTCACAATCAGTGGAAAAGACCTGTACCATCAGAATGCAATTCAGAGAAAACCAGGACTGGATGACTGCTGGCAGCCTAGAAAGATCACCCACGCTAACTAAAATTAGCCTTTTAAAATACTTTCTGTGTCCTATCCTTGCTACTGACCTTCACTGCTACTATCACGTTCCTTCTGAGTTAGGGCAAATAACTTGCCTAAGCTCAAAAACATCAGTGAAAACCAGCAGTACAGAGAAAACACCAGCACTACCCATCATCCGTCAGAGGAAATACCAAACACGCTAAAGCTCAAATGCAGGTACATGAAATGAGTAGACTTCACACCATTAATCTATGGAGGACATGGTCTCAGTGCTTAGAACACTACCTTAGCTTCACCGTTCTCAACTAGTTTCCACAGTAGTGTTAATTTAATTATTTTAGGTTGACTTTAGAGTAAGGAAGGCTTGTCTTCCTGCCCACCGCTTGATTAACCAACTCACTCAGGTAAACACAGGTACAATTCTCCTTTGACATCTAGAAGCACGAACTATACTACTTCAAACAAAGCGAGTCCTCACTGCAGTACAAGGACACTAGCACAAGAGCATCTACCAGAGCTATACTTTCTTCCCCCACCTCATTATTTTGCTAAACCATTTGATTCTAGTGACCATCTGAGCCTGCTGCAAAAGCCCATTATGATAGGACTGGATTGCTGAGGACTGGGAGAACATTGGGTATGTAGGGAATGGAACGTGAAGTCATTGCATGTAACTAGCTAGACCAGTCATTCGAGTTTCTCGCTATATTAGAATTTTATATTTAAATTATCTTAAAAACTGCATCAAATGCAAGGGCATCAAATAGCCTAAAAACATCTTCAGTACTTCTTCCCCATGATAATTCTGCATTTCAATGGAAAACATTTAGACAGACAAGGTCATCTTAGGTTTCTGCTGTAAAGCTTCCTTTTCTTCTGAATGTGCTAGACACCAAAGTCCTTTACAGGACTTCCCACTAGTAGCACCACCCCACGTCCCCCCAAAATCTAATCTTTTATTCCTACTTATCTTAAAATTTTAAGGGGTACCCCATCATATGATAAAACAGTCAACTTGAGTATCCATTAGCATTTCCTCCCCAAAATCCAGTATTGTATGAGCCAGATTTGAAATGTCAATGATTTGATTCAAGGCACAATTTACTTTTAAATTTGCTCTCTAATTACAATTTACTATGTGGTGGTTTTTTTGTTTATCTATGAGATAATACTCTAGAATATTTTCTATTGAGCAGAAAAATCAGACCAAATCTGAAGCTCTTTAGGGGACAGCAATAACATTTGTCACCCACCCTTCTTCTGGAAGCAAGGCAGGTTTAAGACAGACTATATGCTGTGTTCAACAGTTCATCAGCTTATATTTTTGGTTTAGAAAAAACCAAGTAGAGTGCAGTCCCAGGCAAGGCATTACTATTCATTTCATCAATTTACTCTAAAACCTCCTCTAACAATTCTTTGACTAAAGACAGTTACTCAAGAGTCATCCATCCATAAAGGCTCTACTGGGAAGACTCTAAGCTTCTTTCTAAAGGCAAATAATTCACTCGACTTTTCAATTAGGGTTTTATCTTTGTTTCATACTTCCATTATTTCAGCCCCACTGATCCTACCCTATTATAGTTCTGCCTCAATATTTTTTTTACTAGTTTTTTGCTTTTACCAATCTGATCTTCAAAGTATTTGACTATTCCACTATGGTTTAACATTTAACATGCAAGAATCTTCCATCTTTTCCTCATTTAGAGAGCTACCACTCTTTAGAAAGGTTATCAACTGTGCCGACATTTTTGCTGACTAGTAGCATATATTTTCTGAGCTTTAATACTCTTAAGGCAATCTCCATACTACCTGGGTTTTACCCTTTTAGCTGTTCTTTTGTATTTCCTTTTAAACTTATTGTATGTAGTTTCTATTTCAAAGCAGCTCTGCTACATTTGCTTTTTTCCCTTCCTCCTCTAAAAGGCAGAACAGGCAGTACTCATCACAAAGTCGAGAGCTGCTTCTCCATTCACAGAGCAAGCAGGTTGGTAACTGGGGATACCACTTAGCCTTAACTTCACAGAACTGACGAGTGTTATCTGGCCTCCACTGAACCAAGGGCTCCCAGCCTTGCCAAGTCTCCTGCTGACACAACACCTTTAAAAATTTAGCGTGCCAGGGTCACCAGGACCATCTAAGAATCAGTAGTACGGTGTTAGGGCTAGAATCTTCCTACAAGTATATGGGACTGAAGTTCCCAAAGAGCCTATGGTGCACTCTGGCAGTTAAACTTGGTTGCCACAGTCAGATCATAACCAGTACTCTCAGCTAGGTATATACTGACATTATTTTTAACCTGATGATACTAGTGGTCCACTTCATGCCCCCCGACATATGAGATGACCATTATATACCAATATATTCAAGACCATGAATTCCACTTAATACATGTCAATTGTTGCCATTATAGACTGCACACGAAAAACACATGCATGCACAAATGTACAAATTTTATTCCCCCCAAAACAGACTTAAGTGATCCAGTTCATTTTTGTCCTGACTTGGCATTTTGTAAAAAGTAGGTATTTAAAGCTTGTGTTTTGGATGAAGCATTTTGGAAATACAGCAGGTTATCAGCACCTTCCTACAGCCTCAGAAGAAATAAACATGCTATAATCCAACAGCATACAAAAGCAGCAGTCTTAAGCACTAAACCAAGCCTCCCTCTAAGGAAGCATTACCACTGTAAGCAGAATACCATACTTTTACACTGCCTGCAAGCCCCAGCACATAGAGAACTGACAGCCATTTACAAGGGATTTACACAGTAGTAGAAAGGTTAAACATTTTCCCCAGCTAACACAGGTCAGCTAAAACAGAGTAGAGACCAAATTATTCTGCAACTTAACCCTATGGATTCATTACCAGCTTTCAGGCTGAGAGGAGAACCATCTGCTAAAGTCTATATGCCCAACACTAGTTGAAGCTGAGCGAGATGTTACCAAGGGGTCTCATACAGTGTTTGACATCCACAGCATCTGCCTACAGTCACTTCTCAGCTTAATGTACTCAAAGAAGTAACTTCATGTCATGCTGAAGCGGCACATCTCAAAACTACCCCCAAGACAAATTTGAACTGTTTCACTGAATAAAAATCAGACTTCAAATCTCAGAAAGGGAAAACTCGGCATAGGCAAAATCCTACAAATCACAAAAATGAAGACAGTTTATTCCTGCAGAATCTGAACTGCGAGGCCACTCCTAAACACAAGGGTATTAATGTACCATACACAAGGTGCAGAAAGTAAAAACAAGTAACTATCAGTCAGCATGGGGGATTAAGAAACAAGAACATAAAACACTTACCAAGTTGTGCTACAACATTACATCTCAATTGTTACACGTGACTCAAGTCAGACTTAAGTTCATAAAGCTTTTCTAACAAGAAATTTCTTCTGCCCAGTTCACCATCTGTGAAGGGTAATTGACTGTAACGCTTGTTACAAGTCAAAAGTAGATGTTCAGCACTATTTCTAATTTCAAGTTTCTCGGCATTTTGTTATTTTATAAAATAAACCAGAAAAAACTCCAAAAGATCTACTAGACGCTGTTAGGTAAGTCAGTGTTCTCACTTCTACCCTGAATTTCTGAATACTCCTCGAAAGCCAGATACAAAGCATTGCGTACCAAGAATCTCTCCCCAACACCTTCCACTAGAAAAAAAAATAATCCCTCGTTGCCTCAAAGTATCAAAACTGATATTAATTTCATATGCCAATAAAGAAAATTGCTACACACATTAGGGCTGTTGTGTTAAGGGCTGCAAGGGAACCTTGCTTCACGGTGATATAAAACACAAAAATGCTAAGCTGACAAAAGACAAAGAGATTTAAGAGACACTAGCCCTTGAAAACAAAGCAAGCCTCAAGTCAATGCCCAAAATCAGGCCTCGAAGAATGCCACAGTCCCTGTAAAACTGCCTTTGACACACCCGATGGGCGGAAGCAACAGAATACAGCCATCCTCATCAGATCAGTGTTTCAGCTCTGGTATCCCTCTTCACACAAGAAGCTGACAAGAAACTCAAAGCCCAGTTTGAGAGTCACCTGCGGAGAAGGGAAATGTCTTCCTGATTTTTCAGTTGATATTTAGTTTATGACAGAACACAAAACTATATATGAAACTCTTAATTCCAAAAAGCAATGGCTAAAGATAAGCCTGTGAAATTCTGAATTATCAGCATAACAGTAACCCTTACCACCAGCACATTCAAAGAATTATTTTTAA